AAATGTTAATTATCAGGGTAGGAAAATTGTGATGCCATTCCAATTCTTCATTTTAACTCAAATCTTTATTTTTTATGTAGTGTTTCAACGTACTTCATCTTCCTTAACACTTAGAAAACTCTGCGGGTTTATTTTCCTCTTTCTAAACTAAGGAAACAGACCTAGTGAGAGCAGCGAGTTGCTTGGAGTGGCTGCCGATTGGAATCCTCACACCAAGTCCGCGGTCCTTCTGTTGCGTAAGCCAGGGTTGCCCCAGTAACCAGCATCCCCTGTACCAAATGCAGGGTTTTTGATTTCTCAGGTCAGGACCTCTCTACCCTGAGGCCTCCTGTTGTCTTTCGTCTCCAGGTTTCAGGGATTTTTTATTCACCTGTCCTAATGGAGACTCAGAAATGTTTCCCCTGGAGTCACCCAGAGCCATCTGCTTCTAAGAATGTCCACTGGGAGATCCTATTAGGCTGGCAGTCCCTGGCCTTAGGGTGGAGTGGGGCTGGGGCTGGAGAAAGACCAGTCTGTTTGAAGGTCTTCTGTAGAAATAAGCCGTAGATGGGAGAGAACGCCGGCGAGCTGGGAGCTGCATTGTAGTATAGTCAGCTGGGTCATTGATACTCCCAGCTCTAGAGTGTGTGCTGAGGGGACCCGTGCCTCAGAGACTCCCTGCTGTCTGTCGCCGGAGGAATATAAGAGAACAAATGCCTCTTGATATCCTGCGGGTTTCGGGTGGGGAGAAGATGGTTGAGGGGAACACCCGGGGTGATTCACTGAGGCCTGTCAGTAGCGGGGCCATTGCTCTGGGAGCCATCATCCCAGTCCCTGCAGCCCCCTCCCCCGCTGCTCACTACGCCTCCTTCTCCACTCCTCCAACCCCCGGGGTCATTCTTTAGTGTAGACAGTCTTTTCTCAACTTTAAGTTAAGTGGTTTGTAAAAACCCAGTTCAGACTGCCCTTGACGGGTTGCCACGCCTCGGCCAACCGAGACCCCAGCTGAAGAGTTCCAGCCTGTAATTCCCTGTGCTCCCGCATAGCCCATGCTCTCGGGGCGTGGTGTTGGCATAAGAGGGTAGGGTTTCAAACACACGTCTTGCCCGTTTCCTGTGGCTTGCCACTTGGCCTTGGACACAGTTGTGCCTTAGCCAAGTTTGTCTCTAGAGCATTTGATCTTATGTTCCACGTGTCATTCCTTGGCCCAGAGAAATCCGAAAGAGGATGATGGGCTCCCCGGTGGCCAGGGAAGGGAGTGAGTGTTTGGAGGCCTAGCAGCTCCCAGTCCCTCAGGCCTCTATTGCCTGTTCAAGTCACATTAATGTCCAGCCTCTGGACCAAGCATCATGGCATGACACTATTTTGTCTCCCCAAAGAGCAGTAAAGGTGTTTGGTTCTCTCTAAGAGGTGAGGTGGGCTTAGAAAAAAACGCAGCATGGTAAATATGATAAATCCAGCAGTCAGGTATGTCCACAGGACAGGTGCTGTTTCTAGGTTGAGATACTTCTGGACCAAGTAAAGGGGCGACAGGCAGATGGAATTCGGATTTAGGAGCCTCCAGTATGGTAAGGAAACTTTTGAAGTTTCACAGACATTCTGAGCAAGCATCTCTTGCTAACTTTCTCATAAGTCTTTCATTTCCTCCCCGGAAGGGTTGAGTCTGGCACCTTGGAGACAGAGCTGAGGCACTGAAATAAGTTACTTCTTTGAACCCAAGCCAAGAGAACAAAGGCGTGGAGAGACTCCAGCTTCTCTTTAGTGGAAGAGCCTGGTCCTCAGAGCCAGTGGCACACTTGAGCCTTTTCCCCTCCAGTGTTTTCATGCCCTGCCCCAAATTTTCTTCTTACCACTCCTGGAAGATGTCCTTGAGGGCAGTTGGCTCGGCACCCTGGAAGGACAGGCGTGGCCCATGGGGGGCCACGCCCATTCTCATGGCCTTAATAGAATGGGCTTCCTTCTACAGCGGGGGCCACACGGCGAGGACCAGCCCAGCCTCACCGTCCATCCAGTTGCTCCAGGAGCCGTATGTTTTCTTCTTCTCGTCTTTCTTTCCTCAAAAGAATCTTTTAGGAATTGTTTTTTTCCTTAGGAATAACTTGTAGTTAAGGGCGGGGAATCTCCATTAGAATAGAACACTCGCCTTTTGCGTCTGCCAACAGTCCAGGGTCACTTGGATTTAAAGTGAATTTAATTTAGCAACTCTAAGGTCCCTGGACCAGGACTCTTTACAGCCTCCTCGTTGTTTTTAGACTCCCCTAACTTTGGGCTGTGGGCACGGGCACGGTCACAGTGTTGGCCAGGCAGGAAGCCTCCGCTTGCTGAATCTACCCACCCAGTCCAGGCTGTTATAGCAGCCACACTGAGAGCCGACAGGCCACTGGGTCAGCAAAGAGCAGATACTTCATAAATGCTGACCTTGACATGAATAACTACCCAGATAAAGCTAAAATCACCTTGCGTGTCTCAGACCTGAAGTGTTTGTATGTTTGTGTTTTCTGATGTTTTGAAGTTGCTGCAGATACATTTGAGAAATTCAGCTGAAATCGAAACATGTTTTTTTGAATTGATTCTGCAAAAGGAACTCTGGAACAGAGCCTTTCGTCTAAGGCATGCCTGGGAGTTCCCCTACGCAGGTCTTCAGGGCATCTCACGCCTGGATTTGGGGTGCATGCTGGGGCTGGTAGCAACTGGGAACAACCTTTCTGCAGACATGCAGGATTTGGGGGACATCCGTGGTACCTATGACATGTTAACTTCTGTGTCCCAACCCAGCAGGTGCAGTGGCGAAGAGCGCCATGGCCTTAGCACCGTTCAGACCTGGCTTCATGAAAAATTCAGTTCTGGTTTTGCTGTTCTTCTTGCTGGCTGTGGATCATGTTTCCTAATATCCGAACCCCAGTCTCCTCATTGTGTAGACAAGTGTCCCGACTTCTCTTAAAGAATCCACGAATGTCAGTGCTTGGCACGGTGCACACTGGTCACCTTCTCTCTGCCTCTCCTCTCCTAAGGCCACGCAACCCTTCGTTTGACAGCCCAGCACGTGCCTTAGGTGGCTTTGGTCAGGTGGAGAACAGTTTTCTTTGTACAGTGGGGTTTAGCCATTTTGGCCTAAGATCCACACTGTGTACCATAATTTAACTTTCGGTTCTTGGTGGAGATTTGAGAGTTGTTACTCTCAGAGTCACAATTATACAAACTGTCGTTATTGCTAATCAACCATCCGTTTGTGTGACTCAGTATATTCCATTGAAGAGTGATGCTTTGTGTCTAAGACTCTGTGCGTGCCCCATAAAGCCTGCAATGTCCCAGACGTGCTTGTGGTTGGGGACTTGTGTGATATGTGTGCCACAGGCCTGGAATAAAGTCAGCCACAGGGGTATTTATGACCGTTCCGTTAGCAGTGTCATATCTGTGCTGAGAGGGAGTCAAAGTGGAGGAACTCTGTTAATCACAAGTCTTATAATAATAATAGCCACATTTCATTGAGTGCTTTCTATAATTCAGGCACTCGGTGACTTGCGATATAGCTCATGGCATTAAATCTTCACAATAATCCAATGAGGAGGCTACAAGTTTTATAGATGAGAAGACTGGGGTGTAGAGAGAAGCTAAGTAACTTGGCCAAGGTCACTTTAGGTTAGCAGCGGTGCGGAAATTTGAGCTAGGTCTTTCTGACACTAAAGGCCATGGCAAGCTGCATCACTGCTCTGGGCAATTCTAGAATGTCGCCGCTGGTTGATAACTTGCCCAAGATCACACAGCTGGTAAGTGATAGAGCCAGGATGCAACAAGCCTGCTCTGAAGCACTCTGTCACAGCCTGCCGTGAGGTGGCATACCTGGGGAAGCATGGAAACAACTTCAGTGACTGTGTTTCTGGGTCTGGATTCAACAGGAGGCTCATTTTCCCTTCCTGATATTTATTTCACTAATTAAATTGTAACTCTTCTAAGGGAAATGATTAACAAAAGAAAAATTATCATTAATCCTACTGCCTTAAAGCTTTCATTTTCCTCTGTTCCTTCTCAGTTCTTAACTGGTTCATAATTGTTCTTCGTAACATTAAACTCAGAGTCTCCTTTTTTAGAGCTGCATACTATTCCATGAGATTGATACATTGTAAGTCCCTTGACCATAACACATCTTTCTGCCCATAGCCTTTTTATTTTTGAAATGCTTCTGTTAGCATAATAGCATAATAGTCAAAGGATTTAAATGCTCCTACTACCATAATTTTTCAAGAGTCATAATTTTTATGTAGCCACCAGCATTATCTTAGCCTGTCGTTTAACAGTAACATCTGGTTCGATCCATTTTTTAAAATCTCTTTTGCTACCTTAACAAGTAGCAGTAGCATCATCTAACTTTTAAATTTGTCGTCTCAACAAAACAAAGAGAGTGACTGTTTTCCATGTTTGTTCACTAATTTAGTCAGGATAAAAATAAAACTTCACCATGTTTGGTAGTATACATTTTTCCCAGTCTGGTTTTTTCTCTTATTTTAGTTGTAGTATTAATCTTTTCAGATTTATATTTTGGAGAATTTAAACATATGGAAAAGCGGATAGAATAGTATAATGAATTCTCATCCAGCCATCATTCAGTTTCAACAGGGACCGACTCACGTCTGATTTTGTCTTCATTCGTGCTCCTGTGCAACTCTCCTTTGTTACTTTGAAGCAAATCCCAGATATTATTGAAGCTACGATTATTTCAGTATCTTTAAAACATAAGGACTTTTAAAAAAATACATATAACCACCTCGTTTTTTACTTTTTAAAAAATTTAATCAAACCCGTGGAATTTATTTATTTTTATTCTCTACTTGCAAAAGAAGGATTTTTCTCGAAAGCGAGGCAGAGGCATTGGAGCAAGGGTGAAGAATCAGCTTTGATATTGACTGGGATCAGGGTCTGAGGAGAGACCCATCCTGTCTGGAGTGTGGCTGACAGATCTGGTGCCAGCAGAAGGGAGAATGAGAGGGAAGTTGGTTTCCTAACCTGGCTTTTTGCTCTTGCAGGCTTATTTGTCACCATGAAGCTGCTGCACCTAGCCTTCCCTAGCTGCTTCCTGCTGAAACCTGCTGACCCGGCTCATCTTATGGACAGCTGCTGCTGAGGCTAACACGGTGTCCACAGGGACGGCCGCCATCAGTGCAGCCTCTTTCCTGCAGGACCTCATGCACCGCTATGGGGAAGGTGACAGCCTCACCTTGCAGCAGCTGAAGGCCCTGCTCAACCACCTGGATGTGGGAGTAGGTCGGGACAATGTTACCCAGACCCTGCAGGGACAGAGGAATCTCTCGACGGTAAGGCTCCCAGCTCCACGCAGCACTGTTTCTGTCCCCTTGGGGTTCACAATCTAACCAGGCACAAGAGATGAGCTGCTCAGGGCAGGCAGGGTTGGGGCAGGCAAGCCTTGATGACAGATCACTCCTCCGTTGTCTGGATCAGCAAGTCTGAGTCTCCAGCAGCGCCTCCTGCATGAGTGTTTTAAAGCCCTTGCCAAAGAGCAGCTGTGAAGTGGGGGTGCTCAGACCTGCACAGTCTTCCTTGCAACTGCACGGGTAAGCTGGAGCGCCCAGGACCGCTAGCGTTTCTAATAGCCTTTGTAGTTGTCAAAGCCCTTTGCCTGCTCTCCCTGGTGAACCTTGCAGCACCTCTAGGTGCAGATGGAAAATCTTATTCTATAGGAGAGAACACTGAGGGTCCCACGGAGAGTTGACCAGGACTAAGACCCAGGTCCTTTGGCTCCTGCTTCTCTGTTCTTTCTTCCATATCATTTCGGCTAATGTGAATCTGAGGCCGTTCGAGGCAGCCAGGGAATAAGTCAGCCAGCAACGGCTTTATATCTCTACTTTGTTCGCTATGCTGAGTGTTGTAAGAAACAAATATGAGTCATGTTTAGGGGATTTACTGTTCAGATGGGGAGCTCAGCCACCCCAGAACGAAGTTAGCCGATATTAAAATGAAGCGTGAAATGCCGTGGTTGGGACAGTCATCGCAGGAGTCAGAAATGAGAGCAGGAACCCTGAACAAGCTCGATTCCGTCTGATCTCGGAAGCTAAGCAGGGTCGGGTCTGATTAGTACTCGGATGAGAAGACCAGGTGCTGTAGGCGTAAAAAAGAAAAAAAAAATGAGAGCGAGAGATGCGCGTGCCCTAGGATAGTCAGGGAAGGCTCATGGGAGCTTTGACTTGAAGAAGGGTAGAGTTTAGAGAGATCAAAAGGGCCCCTGTGGCCTGGACTCAGAACCACAGGAACGTGGTGGGTGTCTGACTCTGAGGAGGCTACCCTGGGGGCTGATGCAGCCTGACCCCAGAGGCTTCGTGGGACGTCAGTGTCCTGGGGTCAGCAGGATCTAGCTCTTGTCAGCTCACCCAGAGGGCTAACTCTGTAGAGATAGGCCCACCTAAAACCAAACCCAGATAAAGACTGATACGTATAAAGTATCATTAGAAGGAAAACTGCTGTGTTACACAAGAATGGTGTGTGCGAACCACTCCCCTGCCGCCTCCTAAAGGGACTGAGAGCTTATGGTCTGGCAGGCCCAGGGTACCGTGCACAATGGCTCTGGAGAATTTTCCGAAATTTGCATTTTAATGTAATAGCTCCCTGCGCTATTGTGATGTGCAGCCCGATTTGCTATCTGGTTGAAGCTATATCTTTAGGCATACAAATAGGGTCATGTTTTCTAGAAACCACACCCCAGTCACAACGATTGGAATTCAGTTGCGCCTAGAACCTCTGGGCAGCCGTTTACAGATGTGCGTCAGATATGTTTTAGCCCGGTGACTGATCTCTAAGATTACTTATCAGTTTTTCAAATTTAAGGACTACCTTGCTCTCACCCGGGGAGGTTAGTCTTACAGATGGACAATTATATCTTCTTTTTTCCCTCCTGGGAGGCTGAGTCAGTGGCGGGCCGCTTAGGGCAGGGTGTGACTAGCTTCTAAGAGGCTTTCTGCCCCTCGCCCTTGTTTCAGTGCTTCAGTTCTGGGGCTCTCTTCGCCGCCCATAACTTCAGCAACCAGTCACGGATTGGAAGGAACGAGTTCCAGGAGTTCTGCCCCACCATCCTCCAGCAGCTGGATTCCCGGGCCTGCTCCTCCGAGAACCAGGAGAACGAGGAGAATGAGCAGACTGAAGAGGGGAAGCCAAGCTCCGTGGAAGGTGAGCTGGGACAGGATGGCCTGGTCCCCTCGCTCGCCTTCACGTGGACCCCTGGGCTGATCGGTAGTGCCGCTCACTCAGTGTTTAACTGGTTGACCAGGTTATCAACATCAGGAGGGGCAGATGAGAGTAATGGTTATACTGGTATCTTTGTGCTCCCAGGACGGGTCCAGCCTGTTGTCAGATGGGACGGTGTGGCTGGCGAATGTTCGGCGTTGGGCTCTTAGACCAGCCCAAGTGTGT